TTTAATCGTGTAAAAAGTAGTAACACGAGTCGTACCTCTTGACACAATAAAAAATTTAAAGAAGCCTCCGGTACACTTTGTTAAAAGTAGACATGTATTAATATACACGAAAGAAAACTCTAAATTGGTTCACAAAGCCTTACTTGTATCATTTGGCACAAAATTATTTTCTTTTCTATACGTCGTAGAAACATACCGATTAGATACAAAAATAGCTAATTTTTCAGAGATTCACATTATGTTATAAAGTCAATTTTGATCTAAGTCGAGTTAGATCCCTTTTCACTGGGGGTACAGAATTTACATTACTTACGTATAGAATCTTTATATTTTCGTTAAATCTTTAAAGATATTCCAAAAAAAAGTCACTTTTACTTCATCATTCATCATCATTTCAGCCATAGGACGTCCACTGCTGAACATAGGCCTCCCCCAATGCTTTCCATGTTGATCGATTGGCAGCGGTCTGCGTCCAGCGCTTCCCTGCTACCTTTACGATGTCGTCGGTCCACCTTGTCGGTGGACGTCCCACGCTGCGTTTTCCGGTACGCGGCCTCCATTCCAGAACCTTTCTGCCCCATCGGCCGTCAGTTCTGCGTACTATGTGCCCTGCCCATTGCCATTGTTGACGTTACACTACCGTCCGCCGTCGTTAGTTTCGTCAGCTGGCTTTGCCCAATAGAGTTGTCTCTTGCGAACACTTTGGAGCTTTGGTTCCGCTCTATCGCCTCTTTAATACTGTTTGTATTAAAATTGCGAATATCATGTCGCAAGGACTTCCTTATCTGTCTATTGAGCTGCCTGTATGCCGTAGCGTCAACGGAGGACTGCAGCGTCATTGCACGTCGTTCTGCCATGAGGTTGAGGGTGTGGTCGGTGAGCTTTTGCGGCTTGTCTTTACGACGAGGTCTAAAGAATTTAAACCCAGCCGCCTGGACAGTTTCTACGAACCCGTTATTGATCTCATCCACTGACTCGCAGTTTTCCAGGCATGCAAAGCGATTTGACAACTCGAGCTGAAAGCTCTCGGGGCAGTGGATATGGGAATTGTAGGGTCGGAGCGTAGACTTCATCAGACGGGACCTTTCTAGCTTGACGTTAATATTTAGTATGCCTCTGACCATTCGGTGATCACTACCGGTTTTCACCCTGTTGATCACGGAGACATCACTAAATATTCGTCGCTTTGTGGTCATGATGAAGTCAATCTCATTTTTCGTAGAACCATCGGGACCACTTTTACTTACTTTTTTTTAATTTTTCAGAACCTCATAACTTGTGAACGGGCAACTTTGGGCGCGCGCTGATAGTGTAGGATTATAGTCAACAAGCCATAGAACAAGGCTCAAGTAGTTTCAAAGCAAGATCTGTCAAGGCTTAGTAGAAATCGACCACTTTATGTTTCATTCCATACAACGAAAATGGAAAATATTTTTTTCCAGCCAAACTATTGGTTTTAGAGAAAAACTTGTGCAGCATTTATTCATCAGAATAACGTAACCTATCGATAGGTATTTTTTTCAAATAGAAATTGTGAAAAAATTCGCTATGTCCATAAATCTCAATTTCGATCCATCGCCAAATGCAATCTCATAAAAAGGATTAAAAAAAAATGCTTATTTAAAAAATATTGGTAACTAGATTTGGAATATGGCAACATTATGCCAATAAAACAAAAATACTTCGGCCAATATACTTGTTTCCAGGCCGCGAACGAATAAAAAAAAATAGAATAGCAGACATACATTACTGTTAGTCAGCTGTCAAATTCAACAACTCAACCAGCCAGCAGCCAGCCAATCTTCAACGCTCGTCCAACCGTTCACGCCCAGCGAAATAGTGAATAACAAAACAATGATAATGAGAATAAACTAATTGTGTCGTATAACTTTATGTTTCATCGTGTCATTCTCATAAATCCCTGAAACATGTCTGTGAGTGCGAGCGCCGAGAACCTGTCGACCGATACACAGGTGAGTAAAGTAACTGAATCATAACGAAACATACAGCTATATCGTTAACATGTAATTACGTCTAGGCTTTGTTTAGATTGGACTGTGTGTAGGTTCACCAGAGCGTCGGCCGTGCGTTTTCCGCGTCGACGGTGATTCATTGGCGATACTGGGGGACCGAATAGGGAACTGTGGTGACCTGTTACTTATTAGCTGTACGTCCGTTCGTCGCCCGACGCCCCGTGCATATCCGCTACCGAAGCTGCGACTCGCATGGGGCCAATTTAGTCGCTCTAAATACTTGCTTGGCTTCTGACAGGTCAATAGGAATGAAAGGAAACTTTAAGACTGTACTTGAGTCATTTTACAAAATAAAATAATAACGCGTAGTTTTACGTTTTTGTCTGATACTCATTTTTAGATAGGCGAAAATGCTAGTATTGTACATTCACTTGTTAACCTATTTCTAGACCAAGCACTAGTCATTGTTGATTGAGCAATTTGGTAAAACAATAATGTAATTAGTAATTACCTAATGTCAAACTGTGAAAGTTGAACCATTAAACCTTCTTGAGACATCTGGTTTTACCATGTATCAACAAATACCAGCAACAAGTAATCAGGCAGAAAATGTGCATAATAAAATTCCTATGATTTTTAAGCAAAAAAGCACATTGCTCTTTAAATTATATGCATACTAAGACAGCTTTTAGTATTTTATTTCATGGATATAGACTCAATCATAGTGAAATGTGTTGTTTATCTTTGTATAAAAAACATTATAATGCGCTACAAGTCTACATTCCAAAAAAAAAATGACACTCATAGTAGTAGCACTTTATAAAGCATTTGTTGCTGTTGCTCTCTCCAATTCTTTGTGTTTATAATGATTAAAAAAGTACTAAACACAACAGAAAGAAATTCACAAACTCATGCCAGCAGTTTCATAATATTTTAGGCTAAAAATCATATTTTTCTGGTTGAATAAATTGCATGTTTTTGTTCATGTATTATTTTAGCTTTTCCTTCCTCCTGTTACTAGACTTACCAAATAATTGTTCCTTACGAATATTTAGTATTCACTAGCAGACCCAACAAAAGTCATTCTGCTCGAATGCTAAAATTATATTCTCGGAAAGTTTTATAGAAGTAATTTGTGATTCTAATCAAAACAAAAAAATGTTTGTCCAAATCATTTGTGTTTTAGGAGTTAGTATTCATTTTTACTTGAACTAAAATGTAATGGGATGATCCCAGGACTCCTGAAAGGCCTGTGAATGACGACATGAGCCCTCCGACAATGTGGCAATTTGCAACCCAGTATCACAATTGTAGTTGATTGGCGGACATCTTAATCGTGGCTGATTGGAGTAATGTCCAAGACGATCCTCACTCTTATCCAATTTATGACCTACCTGTTATTGAGATCTGGTTACTTTTGTGGCCAAAGCAATAAACATGTATATAACACAGCATTGTATAATATCAACATGTATTTGGTTTAATCACATACCGATGAATATTCATTCATCAAACTTGTTTAGAAATAAAAAAGATATTTGGATTATTTAGTGCATCATTAATGCAGTGATAGTTTTACCTAATGAACCACAGTGATGATATTACATGTACATGAAAGTAGTCTCACCCAAGTGTAGGTAGTAAATTGTTCAAGTGAAAAGTAATATTTTAGATATACTTACCTACATAATACAAATGCATTATGCACACTATTAATTATGATAATATTGAATGTTTTAGTTTAATGAAGTATTTATATCACTGTGACAGTTATCAATCTATTTGGTAGTGCAGTAACTTTTGGGTGGCGATATAACCTGTATTTGCCCAATTATCCTTGCATATTATTCCACAATCTGTGAAGTGACAAGTCCACCTCCTCCTTCAGTTGGAGCAGAAACTATGTCTTCCTTGCCATAGGCCTTCTATATTTGACAGCCCTTGTATAGTTAAATCTTATAATTAAAGGGGTCCTTCACCAGTCCTCATGGTTTGACCAGTCATGCTTGTTCAGAGAGCATCTTCTGCTCACCCGGAAACTAATGTTCTAAGTTACTTGGAGTGATGATTGTGATAATTGAGGCGACAATATCCTAACGGTGTAGATGTCCAGACTGGCTGACTCGTCCTCCTACGATCTCGGGTTCCAACCTGCCGCTGCTAGAGAACTGTATTTTACCCACTCGTAACCCAATATATTTAGCTAATCACGAGGGATTAACGGGAATATTAGTGTAGGCGCACACTGGGCGACACGCGACAGTGACATCTCGACGACTAGACGCCTGTTCTTGTCAATATCATATTGAGTTATTTTGACCTCAGGTGTCGTGTGCGCTGTCGCTTACTAATTTATTGCTTGTTTGCAGAGCTGCGATGGCGGCTCGATGTGCCTTGAACTGGCGTTGGAGGGCGAGCGTCTGTGCAAGGCGGGCGACTGCCGCGCGGGCGTGGCCTTCTTCCAGGCAGCCATACAGGCCGGCACCGACGACCTGCGCACGCTCAGCGCCATCTACAGCCAGCTCGGCAACGCCTACTTCTACCTCGGCGACTACAACAAGGCGATGCAGTACCATAAACATGACTTGACGCTTGCCAGGTAATGTCTAATTATTCATTTGTATGTAAGCCCTTTCTCGGGGACGCATACGCGTCCCAAATATAGCTTGCCCTACCGCCACTTCGGGACAACGAATCGTGCTGAGTAGAAGTGGCGGAATAAACTCAGTCATCTTTGTCAGCCTTTTATTCAATACAGAAATATGATTGAATCGTACCAACGCCCAACTGTAACCAAGTTGATGTCATTGTATTTGGTTACAGTTTAATTTGTTTTCATTTTTAATGCCTTGTTGAAATTCTTATTTATCAACTGACTAGCTGTGCTCAGCTGTGCTCTGCTATAATTTGAGGAAAACTCACCAAAAATATATGTTCGAACGATATTTGATTCAATTCGACATGCACGTCATGAATATGAGCGTGGTACTTGATCATCATTTTTACGGCGTTATTTTTAATTTAACCCATCACACATGTCCTAACAAATTCGTATCTCAAATTACAGTCTGACAGAATAGGGATAAATGCGGACTTGATCCGAACCCCACCTGTTGAGCTTAAGCATGAAATGTCATGGCTATAAAAGACTAAACACACCAACCTCGCCATCCAACTTAACGATGCCAGTAATCAGCAAGTTATTATAATTCTAGGACCATGAACGACCAATTAGGCGAGGCGAAAGCGTCCGGCAACTTGGGCAACACCCTGAAAGTGATGGGCAAGTTCACGGAGGCCATCCAATGCTGCAAGCGGCACCTGGAGATATCGCGCGCGCTCGGTGACAAGCTGAGCGAAGGCCGCGCGCTCTACAACCTGGGCAACGTGCACCACGCGCAGGGCAAGCAGCTGGGCCGCGTGGGACAGAACGACCCCGGCCACTTCCCGCAGGAGGTCCGCGACTGCCTGCTGCAGGCGGTGGACTACTACGAGTGAGTCACACATCCACAGCCTGGGCACTGCCCCACGCGTGGGCAAGCAGTTGGGCCGCGTGGGGCAGAACGACCCCGGGCACTTCCCGCAGGCGCTAACTAATCGTTCGTTTCAGCTAAATGACGTCCACTATTGAACAAAGGTCTCGCCAGATCGTCTCTTCAGTAGTGAAAGGCCTGCTACTGTGTCTTTCGGCCCATGGTCGCCACTCGAGAACATTCCTGCCCCAACGACCATCAGCACTACGAGTTATGTGCCTTGCCACTAATCTGCGAACCATGTCGGTTCAACTTGAGCACTGCTATACTTTTCCAATACTAAAGCCTGGTCCGTGAGTAAGTAGAATTTTGTCCAATGACCCCTAGCTACCCATCCTTATCGCTCGCGCGTAATTATATTGCTGTCGCGACTGTGCGACTGGCACCCGCAGTGAGAGTGCGAGCGCGATAGCAACATATTTACGCGCAAGCGATAAGGATGAGTAGTAGGGTGGTCCTTATTCCTAAGAAAAAAATTTTTTTTCTTATATTTTGCGGGGCACCACGTAATTTGAATATATGCCATATGAAAGTCTTTCATTATTTTTTTTTTAATTTTTGAAAGACATTTAGGGGTCGCTACCAAGGTTTGAATTTTAAGTAAAAACACAAAATCTTTATTTGTTAGATTCGTTTATTTTTAGCCGAAGCCAAGTAAAAATATTACAAAATTATTGTTGTTGCTATGAACTAAGATATTATGTACAATGTACATATTTGGATCCATTATTTTTAAGATATAAGAGTTTACTTGTTAGTATCTCGACGCGTCGGTACCATGGTCGGTACAGAAGAGGGGTTGAGGGGAGAAGGGGACAAGAAGCGATTGTCTATTCTATCTATGCGATGTTCATTTGCACCTAAAATGTGATATAAACACTTAAATAAAACATTTATGAAACCATGATTTAAGATCTTCAAAGCTTTTTGTAAATATTTTGACAGCTGGTAGCGACCTCTAAATCTTAACCAAAAAAAAAAGTTAGGTGTTCTACGTGCTATTCACACAAAAAGGAGCTATAAACACAAATTTCGCAAATCAGTCCGAGTAGAGTCAATGCACTAACTTAAGGAATTTGTGAAGTTGTTGTTATTATTTAAACAAGATTAGTATACCGTTTGAATGAGGATAGACTAGAGAAGTTTTGATAAAATCCGAAGATCGCTATCTCTTTTAAAAAAAAAATTATACCCTTGTAAACTTAAATGTTCAGTCCGTTTTTAACTTTTCGGAAAACTTCAAAGCTGAATTTAAAAAAAACTAGATGATATTTGCCAATAAATTTAGATTTGATGCAACCCTACATTAATGCACGTCAAAACAAAATATTTACTTTAGGGCTGCGCTTGGTAGTTTTTTTTTAAATCGAAATTAAATGATGCGATTTGGGTATTTTGGTGAAATTACTAAAAAAATTAATTTAAAAGTAGCCGCCTGGTATGGAACGTGTTATGGGGGCTGAAAATATAGGAAATGACCCATTCTATCCGCCAAATCATTTTGGCACACGATGCGCCAAACACCCTGTATAATCGAATGAGAAAGTGCCCCGGGGAGAAATCAAAAGTCGAAAAATAAGGACCACCCTAATGAGTAGCTAGGGGTCTTTGAACAAAATTCTACGTGCTCACGGACCAGACTTTAACATAACTTCTGTTCTGCACTCCAGGAAGAACTTGGAGCTGATGCGCAGCCTGGGCGACCGTCAGGCGCAGGGCCGCGCGTGCGGCAACCTCGGCAACACGTGCTACCTGCTCGGCGAGTTCGCGCGCGCCATCCGCTACCACACGGAGCGCCTGCGCATCGCGCGCGAGGCCGGCGACCGCGCCGCCGAGCGACGGGCCAACAGCAACCTCGGCAATTCGCACATCTTCCTAGGACAATTCGAGAACGCAGCTGAACATTACAAGTTAGTAGCTTCTGTTTTTGTAGACCCCTCTCCTGGTATAATCCGTGTGACGTCATGGCATGCATTGTTATTGCATTCATGACAACCTCTGAGGTGGAATTGTGTTATGAACTGTCAAATGATTACGACTGCTTTACACAATTCCACCTCAGATCTTTATTAACGTATTCTTTTCGACTCGTAGACCTTTCTCGACATGGTTTGTGTCGCATGCCCTGATTGCGTTTGCATTTGACAGTAGACCCCTCCCGGCATGATCAGTGTGGCTTCATGGCATACCCTGATTGTGATCGCATTCATGGCAACCTTCCCTCTTGATTATTATTTTCGGCTCGTAGACTTCTCCTGATATGGTTGATGTCACATACCCTGATTGTGGTTCATGTCAACTTGGTCTTGATCGACTAGTTTCTTTATTCATTCGCCGAACCTGTTCAATGCGTTGCGGTACACGAATTAAAGTACTCAACTTTGCCATAAAATACAAGTTGGAGTCGAAGAAACTGTAGAAAGTTCCAGACTGAACAAATTAACAACACGCTCAGTCAAACAGCATAGAAATCTTGTATACAACGTTGCAACATATTTACTAATGAAGCAACTTCAGATCACGCTATTATTAAGACAATCGCACAATAATATTATATTTTTTAGAGAACACAGCTAAGGCATATGAATACCTCACGAATAAAAAAAAAACAAAAAAAGTAACTAGTATCTTGTAGTCTCATTAAATTTACATAAAATTCATTTAAAGCATCTACATTGCCACTAGCTCGACCAGTTCATAAATTGTATAAAACACGCATTACGATCTGGCACACCTGCTATGTATATTCGCACGAGAATGCATTGATGTTTTCATTGAGTTCATAGATATTGCGTTTCTTTAACCTATTAATGGCCCAAATATTCTTTTGTTATAAAAATAAGCACTTTTATTTGCTATACTACTTGTTATTAATTTAAATGCAGCTTACGAGAAATCTGTTATTTGCACCACTGCACTCCGATTTATTTGCTGTTGCATCACACAAACTAAATATTGTTTTAGTGAGCTTTGTAAATAACCCCTTGGACAAATATGCTATCCTATTATTGGCTGCGCGTAATACTGATCTATTTTGAGCTCAGTGTTTGCAAACGCGACTGTAATCTTGTTTACTTGCTCGGCGAATGTGTTACTTATGTATACCTACTCGATATTTCTGCAAAGCAATATGTGTCACGTATTGTGCGAAATTCAGCAGCACAATGGATTACATTGTCATAGGGTCAGATGCCTATCAAGGGCTACATTTGAATGCATCATGCTTACAATGTATAGGATCTGCAGAATGAGAAATAAGGTCTAACCGATATACTTACAGCTCGGAATTGGAAAATAGACTAATCAATCCCAACATGTACATTTGTGATGATTGTCGCAATGATTACATGATCTCAAAGTAAAGTCCTTCGTCCTAATTTGGAGTAGGTACCTCAGAACGGACAATTATTTCATACTTCTAATACATCACGATATTGATATTGTTTAACGCATGTTTATATTGTTCTTACCGCTATGAACAATAAGATTTCGAGTTCAAAATACCTATTGTACTTAGACTAGTGACAAGTCATTATTGTTGGCTGGTTCATGCCAATTACGATTAATTTCGATGGCCGGGATTCCGCTCAAACGCTGGCTAACAAGTACGCAGTGGTTCTTTCAAAGTGGCTGGTTTCGGGCGGGACATTAAATGGAATTGGAATTTGGAATATACCTTAATCAAATCAAATTAAAACCCAGAAAGTTACTGGTTACTGCACTACAATGATTGAAATAGGTCGATGTTGTTGCCGTTGTAGGAGGCAATTATGCATGACTTTCGTGTCTAAATATTTTATTGCATGTCTAAATATTTTAATAAACTTGCATTTGCTGTTGTAAATATGTAATTAAATGAATGTGTATGTTAGCTATTATGTAGTATTATATTTTTATGTTCACAATAGTTTCACTTTTTTATGTTTTGATAGTTCCAATTTTTGTTGATTTTGTAATACCCCAGTAAAATAAATAATGTTATTATTTCTTATTTCATACAAACTAGTGGATATTCAATTAAACATCTCATAATAAGAATAATTCTTAACACATAAATTCAAAGTAAATCTATACTAATATTATAAAGCTGAAGAGTTTGTTTGTTTGTTTACTTGAACGCGCTAATCTCAGGAACTACCGGTCTGATTTGAAAAATTCTTTCAGTGTTAGATAGCCCATTTATTGAGGAAGGCTATAGGCTATAAACCATCACGCTACGAGTAATAGGTGCAGAGCAAAAATGAAAAATGTTGCGAAAACGGGTCTTCACGCGTACGAAGTCGCAGGCACAGCTAGTTATTAGTAAAAACCAGATACATTTATTAGATTGTCCACCATCAATTGTTTGTCTTTAGACGCACGCTGGCGCTAGCGGAGGAGCTTGGCGACGCGGCCGTAGAAGCCCAGGCCTGCTACTCTCTCGGCAACACGTACACTCTGCTACGAGAATACCGTGTGGCCGAGGAGTACCACGCGCGCCATCTTGCGGCCGCGAGACGCCTCCAAGACCGCGTGGGCGAGGGCCGCGCCTGCTGGTCGCTGGGCAATGCGCACGCGGCGCTCGGCAACCACGAGAAAGCGCTGTATTACGCTAATGAACACTACAACATATCTAAAGAGGTGAGAGCATGACGAAATTAGTTTTGGCTAAGGGTTTGGAAGGTGGTTTTTGTGTTGTTGGTGTATTAAGTAGGTCACAATTGACGACGCTTTTAGCCCTTCAGTTGGGAATGCTCTTTAATTTGCATACATTGTGCTCCGCGACCTTTTTTAACTGTATATCATCTTCTCTGAACAAATTTTTACTATTTCTCTTCTCTCTCTCTTTGATTTACCCTTGTTCTTGTGGGAAACATCATGCAATAGCGAAAGGGCTTTACGTTGAAAAATTAGAGTGTTAAATTAGAGTGTAATGAAGAAGAAAAAGAATAATATTTAACGATTCTGAAATGTTAAGTGCCAAAACTTGGAATTAATAACCCAATATTGATAGTAGCGTCCCACTGTCAATATCATAGCTAGGGACGGTTCGATGTTGGACTACTATAAAATGATGTACTGAGCAGGCCCTTACTTTTCTTTCGACACACAGTTTTTTTAGCTTAATTTGTTGTCACTGGCTGGAATACATAGTGTAGGCTAGTCTTCTACTAAGTGGACTGACGATCTGGTGATGGTCGCAAAAAGTACCTGGATGTAAGCCGATTGTTGTGGAAATCCTTGGCGGAGGGCTTTGTTCAGGCGTGAACTTCATTTAGTTGAAACGAACGAACATTTAATTAAATTACCAGGGTGCTTTATATACATTCGTAGTAAATACAAATGAGTAGGTCATCTTATAGAAACGCACCGAGCGCGGTTTGTATGTGAGCGCGCCAATATACGTATGCGGCGCGCACGCACACACTGACAAAATTCGGCGCACCTCACCGCTAATCCACTCTAAATTTTGTCAGTGTGTGCGTGCGCGCCGTATACGTGTTGGCGCGCTCACATACAAACCGCGCCCGTGCGTTCCTATGAAGATGACCTACTCATTTGTATTTCGGCCTTTATAGTCGGCCGTTTGGTGTAGTGGTTCAGAACGGACTACTATGCCGAGAGGTCCCGGGTTCGATTCCCGGCCGGGCAGAAATTGAAATGATGAATTTTAATTTCTGTGACGGGTCTGGGTGTGACTATGTATAATATTTATCTATTTAAAAAAAAGTATATAAGTAGTATATCCGTTAAGCTAGCACCCATAACACAAGCATTAAGTTGCTTACTTTGGGGCTAGCTGGCGCTGTGTGAAATTGTCCAAAGATTTATTTATTTATTTACTCTGCCTCCATCCGTCCGTTTCCAGTTAGGCGACGTGCTGGGCATGGCGACTGCGCAGATGAACATGGGCGACCTGCGCAAAGTGCTGGGCCTGCCGGCGGAGGGCGAGGCGCCGCCGCCGCCGGCCGACGAGCGCGCGCCGCGCACGCCGTTCAGCGCGCTGCGCGTGCGACGACAGAGCATGGAGCAGCTGGCGCTCATACAGGTGCGTGTCTTTGTTCTTACAACCCACACAACCACATAAGGTCCTTTATACGAGGGGTGGCCAGGGGTCGCGAATATTAGTCCTGTCGATCGTGGCAAGGCAAAAAATCTAAATATACAGGGTGGAAACGATAAGTGATCTCACGCGATTATTTCTAAACTATACAAGATATCGAAAAACTGGTTACTGATCCTGAAAGTGCTTCACGAGCTCTTTCCAACGGTATAAGTAAAAGGTTACAGAATTAACTGAATCTATCTGAAAATTCAATGTTTTCAGCCTCCATACTAAATGTATGCCAGCCACATAATATTAGAAGTGTTAATTTTTTATTAATTAATAATTAAGACTTAATATGAACTCGTAAATTGCATTCTTATTTAATATTATTCATGGAAAACATTAGTTTTAGGCTTTACTTGCTATAATATTATCAAGACATGAGTGGCCATGACTGTGGTTACTACCACTACTACTAAATGTATGGAAGCTAGGAACATTGAATTTTCGGATAGATCCAGTTTATTTTGTAACTTATTATTGGTACCGTTGGATAGAGCTTATGAAGCACTTTCAGAATCAGTAACAAGTTTTTGGATATCTTGCATAGTTTTTAATATTATGTGGTTTTACTAAATGTATGGAAGCTGGAGACATTGATTTTTCGGATAGATCCAGTTTATTTTGTAACTTATTATTGATACCGTTGGATAGAGCTCGTGAAGCACTTTCAGGATGAGTAACCAGTTTTTGGATATCTTGTATAGTTTCGAAATAATCGAGTGAGATCACTTATCGTTTCCACCCTGTATAAAAGGAGAAACGGACTGACTTAGTGACATATCAACGCACAGTCTAAACGTAGGCACTTGAAATTTGGATGGGGCGTAGCTTAGATACCGTAGAGGTGCACTAAGAAAGGAATTCCCGAAATTCCCACGGGAACGGGAATTAGCGGGAAAATCCTTTTGTATGAAAAATCTAAACCGCTCAAGTTTGACGCTTGAAATTTGGCATGCAGGTACCTTAATAAACTTAAAGTTTAGTTACAACAGGATATTGCAAAATTCCCACAGGAACTATTTGTATGAAAAAATCTAAACCGCGTAAGATAGATGAAGGGGGTAAAACGGGATCCACGCGTTCAAAGTCGCGGGCGGCCGCTAGTACTATACATTTGTGTACTAAACTATGCTATTCCATTTAAGATTTCAAGAAGTACATATGTAAGTGTTAGATCGCCCATGGTTTCGTTAGTAAACAGCAGATCTTATGTCTAATCAAGTTGGCCACCCCTGCTTTATACAATAGAGGCACTCATACAGGTGCGTGGGCTGATACAGCTTAATAAACTTGGTTTGATAGAACCGAGCTCAAGGTCTGAATAGCTGACGCTCATACAGGAGCGTGATCCGATAGCTGTTACTTCTTTGTTCTTACAACCACATAAGGTCCTTTATACAATAGAGGCACTCATACAGGTGCGTGGGCTGATAGCTGGTGCTTATTTGTTCTTACAACCCACAACCACAAGGTCCTTTATACAATAGAGATGCTCATACTGCTGCGTGAGCTGATAGCTGCACCTTCTCTGTTCTTACTAACGGGACTATTCCCACCTCTCGTTCCCACCACTGCAACTCCTGTGTAGCCAGGATCTACAGCTTGACCGCCACAAAAACCCAACCAATGAAGGTCAAGTTTGTCCCGGGGGAAAGTTAAACTGTCATTGGACCCGCAACGAAATTAATCAGAAGAACATAGGAGGAGTTCGAAAATAAGATTCGACTTCCCTCCATTGGAAAGCGGATAACAGGTGACAAACAAAGGTTTAAAACCTTTAAGAAAAGATTATGAGCAATTAACAACTTTGTTCTTACTACCCACAACCACATAAGGTCCTTATATACAATAGAGGCACTCATACAGGTGCGTGGGCTGATACAGCTTAATAAACTTGAGTCCAGCTCAAGGTCTGAATAGCTGACGCTCATACAGGTGCGTGCTCAATAGCTGCTGCTTATTTGTTCTTACTATAGCCTGGTCCGTGAGCACGTAAAATTTTGTCCAATGACCCCAAGCTACCCATCCTTATCGCTCGCGCGTAATTATGTTACTTTATACAATAGAGGCACTCATACAGCTGCGACGTGCGTGCTCCGATAGCTGCTGCTTCTCTGTTCTTACAACCCACAACCACAAGGTCCTTTATACAATAGAGGCACTCATGCAGGTGCGTGGGCTGATACAGCTTAATAAACTTGGTTTGATAGAACCGAGCTCAAGGTCTGAGTAGCAGCAGGTGCTCATACAGATGCGTGGCCTTACAGCTGCTGCAGCTTCTTTGTCCACACCAGGTCCTTTAAGTTTAACAATAGAAGCGCTCATACAGGTTCATGGTCAGATAGCTGCAGCTTCGTTGGATCTCGAGCCAAGCTCAAGTTGTAATTTAGCGGCTGGCGCTCATACAGGTGCGTGTCTTTGTTCTTACAACACACACAACCACATATGGTCCTTTATCAGGGTTCGAAAGGATAATTTTATCAATGATAATTATCGATTTATAATAACAAAATAATGCGCTCGTTAAAATGTACTGTATTCGAAGTTTTCGAACGTGTTTATTTATGTAATTTCCGCACTTGCGACTAGTGGTGGGCGTTAATCAACATAGATGGTTATAAAACCTATCTATTTAGCTCCACAATGATCACTATAGTCTTTTTCACCTAAGATGATCGATATGACACTTCAAGGTTATCCATATTACGCAATTTTTTTTTAAAGAAAATAAAATAAAAAATAAAATAAAAATATAAAGCCGCTGTGCTGATTGCAGATGCTTAAAAAAAACCTGTCATCTGCTTTGCACTGGAGGAAAATTCAACCTTAAGTTCGAACTCCTGTTCTTTTGATTAGATTCGTTGCAAGTCCAATGACAGTTTAACTTTCCCCCGGGCCAAACTTGACCTTCACTAGTTGGAATTTTATCGGCGGTCAAGCCGTAGATCCTGGCTACACGGGAGTTGCAGCGGTGGGAACAAGAGGTGGGAATAGTCCCGTCCTTTGTTATCATTAAGTGTCCCTTAAGCCTTTTCCATGACATACTGAAATTCACGCGAGCAAATCCGCGAACAAAGAAAAAGCAAGTAGTATAAAATAAACCTAACAATTCTTTTCCCCAACAGATAACCCCCGACGGCAAGAAGAAAGAGTCCGACGACCAATCCGACGACAAGAAGGTGGTCCGTTCGGAGTCGGAAGAGAACCCTGTGGAGTCGTTCTTTGACCTTCTGAGTCGCTGCCAATCCGAGCGCATGGACGAGCAACGCGCCACGCTGCACGACAAGGAGAACCGGCCCAAGCCCAAGCAGCTGCAACGCTCGGCTAGCAGCGGCAACAAGAGCGCCAGGTGAGTTAAGCTAATAAGCTCTTTCAGAGACAGTTATAGAGGTCAAAAGTCAAAATTTCTTTATTTGTATAGACTACTAGCTTTTCGCCCGCGGCCTCGCCTGCGTGGAATTTCGTTTGTTAAATTTTCCTGAATTTTCTTTGCTATAAACCCCACGGAGCCCGAGACCTTTCCAACGAATGCAAAACCGTGGAAATCGGTTCGTGCGTTCTGGAGATATAGCGTCAGGGAGGAAAACCCTACTTATTTTTATATAGTAGATTAAAAAGTTCTTACAAATCGTCAAATATTTTGCTCTTAAGGAACCTCTACATGTCTCATAATCTTTTTACCCTACCAGCGCTTCGAGACCAACATTTGGCAAGTGCTGAGAAGAAGCTATTAGGCTTAGCTAGGTAAGATAGCCAGTTCCTCTGTGGTTGAAAATTCTGGGGGAAGTTCGCTTCCACCATCAGGTGAGGAGCTCATCATCATCATTTCAGCCAAAGGACGTCCACTGCTGAACACAGGCCTCCCCCAATGATTTCCATGTTGATCGATTGGTAGCGGCCTGCGTCTAGCGCCTTCCTGCTACCTTTATGATGTCGTCGGTCCACCTTGTGGGTGGACGTCCCATGCTGCGTTTTCCGGTACGCGGCCTCCACTCCACAACCTTGCTGCCCCATCGGCCTTCAGTTCTGCGTACTATGTGCCCTGCCCAGGAGAGGAGATGCAGGCCAAGAACCTCGTAGTGTATAAAAAAAAGCAGGGACCACCCACACTAGCATCTATCGAGCGTCGTCGTCTAATCAGCGCCCGCGCAGCTTCGACGCAGCGCTAGTATCTCGACCGCGCGACGCCAACGCAGCTTTTATTTTGAACAGTGGGGGAGAGAGTTGCATTACATGTCAAAATAAAGCACTCACGCGGCAGTCTTAGGGGTCTCTCAACAGGATATGCATTAGATTACGTCATAGTCACTATACTAAACACAAAGACTCGCGACAGACGGTGCATAAATCATTATTGTAACAGAGATATGCGCACGCGCAAATTACTGGACTATCGTTACAAGGCAACGTGAAAGAGTAACAAACATCCAGACATCATGACATCCAAATTTTCGTCTTTATAATATTAGTGGGATAAAATATCGGTTAACTGATCAGCAACAGTTCCTATACGGATCCTAAGTGCAGAAACATCGATCGAAGACTTATTAGAAATTATTAAATTGAATGATAAAGGGTTACATCGAAGACAATAAGCATCATATTATGTGAAGACGTCATTAGAATATTAGTATAACCAAGGGGTTACACACAATACTAGGGGTTTTGTCCAGCCCTTACCATCTCTTGAAGACTATAGTGAAGAAGACAAACGCCTAAACCTAAATATTTAGACCCACTACTTCTCAAAACTTGATGACACTCTACCTTTCGACGTTGATGCCACTTCAGAAATGTATGAGTTAGCACATATTATATTTTAATAGTTAATACTCGTATTTAAATACAAATAATACCATTACCTAATACCATTATATGGGGAAGGCCTTTTTCCAGCTGTGGACGTCATTCGGCTGAAACGAATTCCATTACAAGACAACTACGACATAAAAGAACATACGTTTGTATTTACATAGTTATTGTATTCAGTATAAAGTCATCTTTCAGTTTCGGACATGTAATGATTAATAAATTATTGTTGTCGTTGCTTATCTTGCTCTAGTGGTGATAACTTTAAGATTCTTGCTATCGTCGTATTGTTTTCATAGTAATCGAATCTTTGAGTACAAGAGATATACATATTTTTAAGGCAATCGAATCTAAATGTAACGAATTGTTTGCAAAATGAATTTCTAATACGAGTATAACGTATTTGTGAGTTGCTGCAAGGCACAGTTACATAAAAATGTACTGAATAATTAAGTCATACATTTTACTCAATACTGATTTTAGTTAATGAAATTCATCGGACAGAACTTCACCGACTTTCTTTCTTACATAAATACTTCATCCTGCTACCAATTAAAAAGCGAGCTCTCACTCAATCGCGCTGGTTTCAAAACTCAATGTACAATACATTCTAGACTGCATCTCACTTAACACCAGGTGCGATGGCGGTCAAATATCTGCCTTGTTATGCATTAAAAAAACATTTTAAGCGTATAGGTTTCAGTGTAATTGTATGCGAATTGAGCAAATCCATTATGCGATTTAGAATGCTTCATTAATACCTAATGTGTGCTGTAATAAGTTTATTGTCATTTATCTAGTAAATATGATGTACACTGGCTGCCGCGGACAACTAGCGGCGCTCAGCTCGCCAAGGCCGCCGGTAATTCGCCGCCGATACTTTGTTGACAGCGACGCTGTTATCGGCCTATCGCTCTCAAACCTTATCGCCAATCGCCCATCAACGGTAATCACTCATCTCCTGCTTTCCAACTAACTACACAACGGTTGCAAACACACGCCAAACTTTTTGTGGCGAAACTCTGTGTCGATTACCCCCTCTCCTTCCTATCTATCCTGCAGCCCTTCAGTCACATGGCTGCCGTGCGGTCGGCAGGTGGACAGTAAACATTGTTTCTGCTTTTAGAATTTAGTGAACTGCGCAAATGGATAAAAGTAAATCGGGGTCCCGGGATTCTGTGGCGTATGTACTCATTATTATGTATTTATTGCACTGCGACTGTCTCGAGGCCAAATCTCATTTGTTTAACGATATGAAAAGTGTTTCCTCTGTTTCAAGCCGCAGCGATTTTTAAAACCGTACTTATTTAAAGCATAATATCTCAATTTGTCCACTACATGAAGTTTGATTGAACTGCCATTGGCAAAAAGATGTTAATGAGTATGGTATGCATTACTGTTGATGGAGCAAGGCTAATAGAAATGCTTTAATTTCAAGAAAAACCTCCTTTGTATATCAATTTAGGTACTTTTGATATCCTGTACTTAGTTGATAGTGCCTACCTTAAGGGCTTCATTAGAAAACTTTTCGTTAGTATTTAACCTTTGAAATATCCCAAATGCCTTTTTAAATCATGAGGAAATATGAAGCGCAAATCGCATTATCGGTATAATGCAAATGACACCTCTAATCTGTCACAAACGTCAGAAAACTGGGAGCAATGAGCTCAGTATTTTTTGGTTTGTTTATAGCAATAGGTTTTGAGATGAGTGGGTATCAGATCGAAATTAATGCAAGCGAAACCGTGAAAAGTTAAAACATTATTTGTTTGACTATGATCTTCACGAAATTGAGATAAGCCATAAGAAGTTTTAAACTCAATAAAGCGCGATATTGATTGGTTTGTTGTACCTACTGTTCGAACAAAGGCCAGTTACGGCGTCGTAGCGCACCCACCCGGACTGTCATCAGCATATCGTGATCAAGATTGAAAACTTGCTTTGAAATGCCTGTGTGGAGAAGCTTTCATATTGCGTTGGCGGATATTGCCACCAAAATTGGAACCTTTAGTGGGCCCTTTAGCCCTTTATTGAGAGTAAAGAAAGGGGCAATGAAAAAATAAACAAGCATTATGCGCATGAGTCTCGCTAACGCGGGTTGCGTGCATTTCTTATTATTTTAGTATTTTTATGTTTCTTAAAAATCAACTTTCTATACTTATTTGACTCGCGTATTTTTTTAAATATTTACTTCTCATAAAAACTATTATTTCAACTCTCGACACCTACCAGATTAGTTGAGTAGTAAATAAATAGCCTGTGTCTGCTAATATATGGCTAAGATACATACATAAAACCTACAAACAGATATGAATAAATCAAGAAAGATAGATGCGCACTTACCAAAATAATCACCATCTTGCACATTGAGCGGCAATCCGGGAAGTATGGCAAAGTTCACAAAATCACTCTCCCAAAGTCAACAATCACGCACGCACGAGATACTATAAAAAAAAAATTGGTACGACCGTCTAGGCAAAGTTAAAACTCGCATAGGACGCGACGCAATGACAGACAGCGCTAGCAAAGGTGCATAATAATCAAAATAAAAAAAAAAAGAAACTGCCGTTGAGCATAACTTTTTGCACAATGGCGAATCATTTTCTCGATTCGATCAAAAGTTTAGTATATTATGTTGTATTCATTAACATTCGCTTTCACAAAATGCACTAGAATTTTAAATCAGCAGAATAATATTGATCTGCATCCTTCGATATGTCACTAATAATAGTTTGCCACAAAGCATTTTAAAAATGCGCATAATGGTCTTTTACAATACAATTCAATGTGTCACCCTTGACCGGTTTCTGTAATTGAGTTCTCCATCGCCATAAATGCTGTAAATATTTTATTGTAATACTTGAGTGTCGCCTCACGCTCAATATTCCTGAAAACTTCGCGCCAGTTGCATGCATGCACTTGGCGCGAACACCATGGCAGGAGCTCCGGAAAAATCGTGAGTAGCGCTGAAAAACCTTATTAACTTGTCTCCTGTCAAACACATTATTAAATATACATCAAAGGAAACAATAAAAGTTTTGGGAAATTAGTTTCGTCAAAAATTCAAAGCTATAGGTATGTAATTATTTTGCCAAAAGATAAAAATGCTCTCTAAAAATTGTTTGTATTGTGGTAATGCCGATTGGGATATTATTAATCAACCTTTAAAAGACTTTTAAGAAAATAACTTTGTTTTGAAATACATATTTTTATGCAATTTTAGTTCTGACATATAGGGTAAACCAGAGAGTGATTGCCCACTGGTAGTGATTGCCCGCTTTAAGAATAATATTGTCAGGTGCTGACTTTGAATCACTCTAGTTATATTTGAATTTACTAAGTAGATGGCTCCGAGATCAATGTAGTTACAGTAGATTTAAAATTTACAATAGGAAGTCTAAAAAAACAGTTATGGCGGATTTTGTCAAGACGGGTGAAAATGTTACTCAAACTGGTAAAGACTTTAACAATTTTACTAAGGAGTTACTTGCTTAGAGGTTAAATTTTTTTTGCAAGTCACTTAATATTCAACTAATGGTGTATAGTCATGATGAAATTATAAGTGTTTTCTCCATTATCAATGAAAATAACTGATAAAATTTGATTTCTAACGGTCATTTTAACGGTGGGTAATCACTGCACGTAAATCTGTATATTTTTAGTTATTGCCCACCATCATTTCAGTTATTGCCATATGTTAATGTATAGTTATTGCCCAGAGCAATTATTATTAGAGTGTTGCCACCATGCAGTAGCAGTGTTTAAGTTGCTCATTGCTAGACTTGTTTTGCAATTTACAGGCATAAATATTAAAATGGCTTTTAATGTTTCATTTTCAGTATGCCAAAGACTCCAAAAGTTCAATATAGCATGGAAAATTTGCAAAAAGCGATCAAAGCTGTACAAGATGTATCCAACAATTTATCTACAAGATAAATTGCTGAAAAATATGATTTGGCTTGAAAAAATTTATAAAAATTCAAACGCAAATACAAAAAATGAAAATCCTACCTTAAATCTACTAGTGAAAATGTTAATTGTAAGGAAATAGATACACCTTTAGGGAAGAATAACCAACAGCTAATTGAACATTCTGAGCAACCACTTGAACTGATATCAAAGAAGATAAAAAAATAAATACATATCAAATTCAAATTTTTGCGTCATCTATGGTTTGAAGTAGAGATGATTCTGTCTCTACCGATTCTGACTCATCAACATCAGCTCAAGAAATATTTGATAATATGTTAATAAGGCCAAACGTAATTTATTTTGATGAAGACTGTACTACTAGAATTTAAGTTTGATGTTTTGTTTTGTTTATTTAAAGCCTATTTTGTCATTTTAAAATTGATTATTTTGTTTTAAGATACTGGGCAATTACTGTGCTTTGATGCGGGCAATTAGTGTAAGTAATGGGCAATAACTGTACTTTTTGGAGGATTTTAAATTTATTTCAATATTTTCTAAGTTACGTAAGTTTTAACTAAAAACTGTTAATATTCTGTTTAACAGTTTATTGAGTTATAAGAAAAAAGTCATAAATGGTCGATAATTAAAATACTTTCTTTAATTTTTCATCGCAATGTGTTTGAAATCTTTAAGTGGGCAATAGCTATACGGTTTACCCTACATATTTTTATGTATTAATTTCGATAAAAAAATATCGAAAATTCATAAATTAATTTTAACAATAACCATATTGCAACAATGTTTTTTAATTTGAAAAATCTAAGTAACTAGAAGTATTTGTTAACATTTATTTTATTTATTAGACGATGCACGGACACCCTGTGTATAATTTCTATAAAAGTGTTTTTCTTGCGACATATTTTAGTTTTTCTATAAATAGTTCTATTTTTTAATTACCGAACAGCAATATAGCGGCTTGATTTCCTCTAAGTCACATTACCGCTCTTCAGCCTGGCAGGAACCAGGAAAAACAAAATTCTAACTTATTCGGGTACGGCGTTTCCCCTATGTAATTATACCTCAAGTTTTTCCACACGTCGTGTTCATTTATTGATTTCAAAGTCCGCAAACAAACTTTCTAACACTAATGGTTGCCTTTTTAATTATTCTGTTAGAAATTCACTTTTGAGGCATTAATAGCAGAAGTTTGACAGGTCTTTTGTACGATTCTGCACTTAGGGCAATATTTTATGTTCAATAAGAATTTTATGAAGCGTTTAGTTTTTTCCGTCTGGTCTTTAAATAGCTCTTTTATGTTGGCACAGAAACTTGCTAAAGTCAGAAAAAAGCATGTTGACATCTCATCATTTTATGGGATCCTGAGCTTTGACCATGTTACTGCATAGAGATTAGAGATGCAATTCATTGGGCATTTCCATATAACCTCCTCCTCGTCTCTTGCTGCTGCTGTCCTGTCAATTATTAAATCAAATCAAAATCAAAATTATCTTTATTTGTTTAGACTAATTAAATTAGTTCTTGCAAATCGTCAAATGCTCTTAAGGAGCCTATACATGTCTCATTCTTTTTTTGCCCTACCAGCGCTTCGAGACAAACATTTGGCAAGTGCTGAGAAGAAGCGCCGCAACAAACTCAGTCACCACTGTCTGCCGGTTTAAAAATAAAAAAGTAGGAAGGAAATTATTGATTGCTATCACTGTCCCTTAGCTATTTAATGTCGTTGTAGCTTATAAGTAACGGTTCGTGCACGTGATCACGGTACCTGTATGTAAACAAGAGCTAACTAACGTTGTTCCTATATCAGCGACCGCGGAACACGACGCTACGCAGCAAGCAAACCAATAGCATTTCTTGCTTGCGGACTACATACCAAGCTGCGTTGCGAAGCGAGGGTGTCTTAAGTTAGCAAAAAGCGCATCACGTTGCGTCTCGATCTATGCTTAAAGATAAAGATACATTTATTTGTTCAAACATATTGTGTACATAAGGTGTTAAGTCAGCATTTAAAATGGTATCAACATGTCGTACCTTTGCGGTGTACAAATTAAATTAAAAATAAAATATCAATTACAATAATAAATACTGCATAATCAAATCAAATTAAAGTTAAAGTCAATGTTGCATAATCAGATTAAATGGAAAAAAAATATATTAAGAAGTAAATCAAAATTCACGTACTTACAAAATTCACTTACTTAGGACACTGCTTTAGTCTGCACGCCTTTTGTGTTCTTCAACAAGGATAATTATTATTACTAACGGGATTGCTACCATGATGTATCTTAATTTTGAGTTTAGTAGACCTATATTTCTGCCTATAACATCTCACCCCCAAGTTTCCTCAGTTACTCCATGGCCACGCTTGCAACAGTGCCGAAATATCGGAATGTCAAAATTAAGATAAGTTATTTTTCTTACAAAGGGACTTAAAACTATACACGCATATTTTGTGCCAAAAAGGCGCCCGCTCAGCATTAATCGAGCCACGCGTGCCCCGACGCTGGTTTTCAGCGGTTTTTAATAATAATTATGTTAGTGACCATGAAAGTTTCAAACAATATATTCAACAAGGATGTTTGTTTGTACCAGCTCCAACGAAGCGATGCTGGACATGATCACGGACATGCAGTCGTCGCGCATCGACTCGCAGCGCGCCGAGCTGCGCCCGGCCAAGAAGCTGGCCAAGGAGGGCAAGGGCGCGTCGCTGCCGGGGCTCCGCCAGCCCTCCGCCGCCGCCAAGCCCGAGGACGACTTCCTCGACATGATCGCCAGGGTCCAGGTGGGTACTTCGACGCAGTGGTGGCGTAGCATGGGTTGGTACCCGGGGCGATCACCCCCCGTCCCCCCGTCATAAGTCCTAAGGCACCCCCAGGATCCGATTCGAAGATTGAAAGACAATCGTACGAAATCATGACATAAACCGCAGATTTGCCAGTGAGTACTAATCTACGCGACTTGTGTCACCCCCTGATGCTTGGCACCCGGGGCGGATCGCCCCGCCCAAATACGAGTGTAAGTTTATTATTTTTGTTAAATAATAAACTTAAACTCGTATTTGCATTCTTATTTAAAATTATTTATGGAAAACATTAATTTTAGGCATTTGCTTTAATATTATCAAGACATGAGTGTCATTAATGTATGGAAGATGGAAACATTTAAATTTTAGATAGATCCAGTTTATTCTGTACCTATTATTGATACTGTTGGATAGATCTCGTGAAGCACTTTTAGGATCAGTAACCAGTTTTACGATATCTTGTGTAGTTTTTAATATTATGTGACTTTACCAAATGTATGGAAGCTGAAAACATTGAATTTTCGGATAGATCCAGTATATTTTGAAACCTATTATAATTATTGATACCGTTTGATAGATCTCATAAAGCACTTTCAGGATCAGTAACTAGTTTTTTGATATCTTGTATAGTTTAGAAATAATCGAGAGTGATCTCACACTTATCGTTTCCACCCTGTATACGAATCGATCAATTTCCCGCATGGTTTATTTGTCCTAATCCTGTCTCCTTCCCTAGGGCTCCCGGCTGGAGGACCAGCGCTCGGAGCTGCCGCGGCCGAAGCCCGAGGAGCGGCCCAAGACGGTGCCCGACGACGACTTCTTCGCGCTGCTCATGCGAGCGCAGGCCGGCCGCATGGAGGACCAGCGCGCTACGGTACCCACTCACTTCACTTTTTTAGGGCTCCGGACCCAAAGGGTAAAAACGGGACCCCATTTGACTAAGACTAAGACTTCGCTGTCAGTCTGATAATAACCGGACTATAGATGACCTACTTTGAAATGTCCCAGTCAAACTCATTGACAGGGGGGCGCCACCATCGTTCAACTATATAGTTTCCAACATGGCAAAATCGGAAACAGCGATCCGGTATTGACGGTGGCGCCCCACTGTCTGAGAACGCAGATTTTTAGGCAGGCCTAAGGACGAAAATCATAGTAATAAATGTATGTTATTGTTTATTTAAAATTTAAATAAATTAAAAATTATTGATAGATTATTCTCGTATTTTCAGATCCCGCTGCAGGAAAATCGCCAAAAAACCGGTTCAAACTCCAAGAAGTAAAGACTTGGACGTTGGACGCCACCATGTTTTTGTTGTCACTTCGTTACGTGCTAGGCGGCTGCACTGAGCCGTGTGCTACTAATAATGACGAAATTTATAATAACTGCGACATTGCTCGAATGATTCGGAAATGGCTAAAAACTAAAAATAGGGATGGCAAGTATATGATATCGTAAATGAAACAACTGGATGATTTTTATTACGATTTTGACCATTATCGTCACAGTGACGCCACCTAGTAGTAGAAACTAGATAATTTTCACACACGACTGTTGTTACGATTCGTAAAGTATACTGAGTCATAATAATATTAATGCACGTAACCTGATAATGGAATCTTTGAATGTGGTTTATGTAGACGTTAATGGAACCGGTTGCTCTTTATGATGGTATATGGTTGTATCGATTCCCGCGGGCGTTTCCCTCATATCGTTACTAATGTCTGGGCGTCCTCCAGTAACGTTTATGACCCTGACCCGACTTAGTTCCCGATTCGAAGACTTCGGTCTCTAAAGTTAGTAGTAAATGGAAAAGACACGTTTCCGCTGTCAGACCAAAAAGCTTCCATAGAGTCAATTATGGTATCCATAGACAATATTATCGAAATTTCATCCACCCAGTGTCAAAAGTTTCCCATCGACCATACACCTTCTATATTTACTTAGTGTAGTTATATAGGATTACGGACTAAGACTGGACGCCCAACCTTCATTTAGACGCGAGCCGCGTCGGAAGCGGACTAACTCCACTATTTTCGAAATATCTATGAAAAAAATAAATAACCACTGAATTAGTATATAATTGTCTCCTAATATGGAATTTCTCGTTAAGGTTACTCATTCAGTGATTATTAGTTTATTACTGCCACAGCATTCCGTTTTAATTAATATTCAATTTAAATTGCATAATCAATGTTAGGTCGTAAGTATAATATTCATCGATGTACTCATTATGAATTTAACTTAGGTTTAATATATTTTATTTGGTGTTTTATTGTATGGACAAATGGACCCCGCTTACGGTTATTTATAAACGGAATTATAATAAGTTAGTTATTATTATTATTTGACTGCGACAAAAGTTGCACAATGATTTTGTATAACTATATATTTATGAACTTTTTATGATTGTTTACTACTTTTTGCTCTAGTTTGGCAATAATTTTTATATTTTTTTGATTTACAAAGACATAGTTTTAAGCAGTTCTTTGTAGGTGGTCTACTTTTGCCTCGTTGGCACTGGCAGGAATCTTCTGTCTTACCTTATTGGGATACATTCAGGGATCGTTCTCTATCTCTAAAACGATTCAGTAATGTTCTTATAAAAGAAGAATATCGTTGCTGTTAGTTTTACTGATAGTAACCGTCTCTGGATTATACCCTCTGAGCTAAACGTATTGTTTTTGGATACTTCGTACCTGATCTCTTCAAGTTTCTAGGGTCAGAAAATGTAGGAGATGTTAAGAAAGGTTTAGACTGTTTGTTGGGATGGATCCCGATGTGGCGTGTTGCTCCTGGCGCCATCTGCAAATTATATAAAGAGACGAGAGAGACGTATGAACAATTTATCCAAGCTATCAATGTAGTTAACTTACTTTATTTTGACTACGGGACTAAACTATATTCGGTTTCATACGCAATTTGCAGCTGGCGGCACTGGCCGTCACAAGGTGCTTCGAGTGACACCAAGTGATATCAGATACCTTGTCTCACGCAGAAATAGGGTGCATGACATTATCCATTAATTGTGATTTCTTTACTACCTCGACACTACAATTCAATCATTTTGACCCAGCGCGATCAGTGCCGGGATATCGGTTGCCAGTCGAGTGGCGGTGCCATGTACCCTGTCTCTCCCACAGCACCCGACGTGCAGCTTTCATTCCAGACGCATTTATTTTTTCTACTTCTTAGAAGTAATAGTAACTAGACGTATTCACTGATGGAATTGATAAACTAAGATTTGCAATGTTGTACTCTAGTACGTAGGTGACCTCTATTATTGTAGGTTATATTGCATATTCCGACAGCAAATATTGTGATCATTTTCAAGTTACGTAATTTTTCTGGTTTACGTGTATCTCAAGTCACGCCTGGCATAAACGGCCAGCGTTTCTAGATCTTGCGCGCTTCAGATGAATTTTATCTTTACACCGACCGACTCAAATGCTTGATATTAATTCGAGTCTTGAGTTTTTTACTTATCACACGAAAAGGACGGGAGACTGGACTTTTAGAACTCCAATCAAACAAATATTATCAAAAACCTATTAAGATTTCAAATAATAGATGCTGTTGGAATGTATCAAGAGTAATAGTGTTAGGGGTTGTGAATGTTGTCTGGTTTTACGCCATCCCATGGTATATCACATTTTTAATAATAAATATAAGTCTCTTAGAGGACTTTGGAACATTTATGTTAAGATTACTATCACATAGCTCCGTATAAATAGTAATCGGTGCTTGCGTTATTGTCGCAAAAATCTTACGCACTCGATCTGCTGCCTTAGATATACATTATTGTATGTTGCTTTATTAATATACCACACCAAACCATTTAGAAATAACTAGCTGACCCGGCAAACTTTGTTCCGCCTTAATGGCAATAAATAAGCAGACTTTTTTATTTCGAACGGGATATAAAGTATCCTATGTCCTTCTCCTGTCCCTAAACTACCTCCCTGACAATTTTCAGCTAAATCGGTTCAGCCGTTCTTGAGTTATAAGTGGAGTAACTAACACGACTTTCTTTTATATATAGATTAAATCAAGTGACACGTTCATTTGACAAGGAACTGGACAGTATTTTGACTTTTAAACCATAATAATGATTCGTGATTGTTAATGTTTATTGTGCTTTTAATAGCTGCCGAAGTTTAAAAGCACTATTTGATTCTGGCTCAAGGCCACCGCGACTGTAAAAAGGTACGCGTAGCAAAACTACTTGTAAAGGCTTGTCACATGCCTTTAGGGAACAAGTCACTTTTTTATTATGGTTGTAATGTCGTACTACTTACTCAAATAATGTAAGTAAGCGTTCGTTTGGTATAATTAATTAACTGGTGTTTTATGTTTTTCACGTTTGGTGTAGCAAGTAGCAATGTTTTATCTAAGCAAGTAGCGGTAACGCGTGTCTGATGAACTATCTCGAAAGTTTTGGCCCGATTTACGGCCTACAATTTTATATTATCTATTTTTTCTACTTCAGTATACTGTGCACACTTATGACGATATAATTTTTATCGTGTCATTTAAAGACCGAAGCTGAGATGTGCTGCTATGTGATGTTAGGGGCTAAAGTCAAATTGTATATTAGCAAATGTGAAACAAAATTTGTGTTGGATCGGATTTGGGGATAGCCAGTTGGTGCGAAGTCGATCGCCGTCCATGGCCAGAAGATATACTTTTGTAACTTTCTAATTCCTATTTCCATACGAATCTTCGCCAACCTTCGAATCAGTCTGTATGCGATATGAAATTCGAATGTTCCAAAAATACTTCTTCTGTGGTGTAATGTACTAAATTATAAGAAGGGATAATAATATGGATAAACATTTTTAATGTCTTTGATTTTAATACAAAAGCTGTTGCCCTTGTAAATACCATCCAGCGATTTTTGAGATTTGAATGTGAATAATATATGTAAAATTGACTCGTTTCTATGTAAACTTAATATTACTTGTTCGTAATTATGACATAATGTTGAAAAGCATCAAAATTTCCTGTTGTCAAGGTCTTGCGCAGGCGATTACTTTTTGCTGCGACAACTTTACAAAACCGACTGAAGAGTAAACTGTATAATATCTCGATCTATATAGCTATATACTAAAACTTGTTTTCTTTTTTTAATTAATACATATTTGTACCTTAAACAAAATTAAATATGTAATGGCATTATTATACTCCATTTGAATGGAAGTTTAACCAAAACAATTTAGTAAAAACAAATGTGTCACTCGAAAATACAGTGTTATTGAATGTTTATGTGATCTCTAAGAAATAGTATAAAAATCTATGTTGTTTAACACAACACCAAATACTATAATCAAAATAGTACTGAGTGTACTGATGCCAAACGTGTGCAGTACTTCCTATGTAATGTGGACTTGTTACTTCAAATTATCGGGTTTAAATAAAACTCAGCTTTAGTATCATGCTGGCATATCATCAACAGACTGAATCCGACAAATGGATGGTCAATCGAGGCTGCGGTGTTGCTTCACATCTACTGAACGCTGCCGATATATTAGGATCTGTCTTGAGTTTTAAACCTACGTCTAAGTTCACAATCACAAAGTGCTTTAACCAACAACTGCATATTACATAGGAACCTCTTCGACTACGTCTAAGAAATTGTTACTCTAGGACACTAATGAAAGCCAAATTATGCATTAAATTATAATAAATAAACTGTATTTTTATTTCTTGAGCACCCCACCAAATCAAATCAACAAAGGCTCTTCTACATTTGGTTCTGTCAAGGTCCGATTATTTTTCAATCCGTTTGTCTGACTAATACATAACGTCCGAAGCTCCTAGCCCGTGTCCTAGCTGAATCGAACGTATCAAAGTCTTGGCTCATAGATTATTTATTTTGTGTAGTGATGATGTTTCCATCACGTCTTAATGAGTAGAACAAATGCGCCAGCCGCACGCATCGAACGCTTTTTAGGAAAATGCGGCGCAGATAAGTGTACGTCCTCCTTTACTGGTATAGATGAACTACAGGTAGAGATGGGTAGTGGGTAAAAACCCATTTCACCCGATTGGGTTAAAACTGGGTGATTTGGGTAAAAACCCGGTTTTTACCCATGGACCTATAAAAAAAGGCGGACGGAACTCGCGCTACAACAAAACTGTGACGCAAAATTTTGGCGTTTGTCTATTGTGTGAGTGAATTTAGGGATGCCATGTTAGTAAAACATTTTACCCTTTTATCTTAAGAAAAACATAGATGGGCAGATATGTTACTTGGAAATGTAGACGGAATTATATCGTGCCATTTGAAAAGGATGAAAGATGAATACGTCGCGTTGAGGTAGACGCGAAATTTTCAAATTTTCTTACTTTGTTTGCAAGTCAGTGTCAGGTACGATTCACGCAGTTACAAATTATCAATCTTGTGTACCTACGTAATCATAATCTTATGTATCATCAATATTATTATCTCTGATAGATTTTAACATACAACCTCATCAACAGCCCTTTACAGTCCACTGCTGGACTATGAGCCTCCTCCACTATAGTGGAGGGTTTTGCCATAATCTCCACGCTTGGCAGGCGGGTTGGAGATCGCAGTTTTAAAGATTGATGTTTTTCAGAGAGCGCTGCTGCCCATTCTCTGTTTGATGTGTAGTCCCTAAGTCGCCTCTTACGACACCCGCGGGAAGAGTAGGGGTTGGTGACAAATGTATTCTACTCTGCCGTCACCACACGGCTGCCGGCACCACATTGGGTTTTACCCGGGTGGAAACCCATCTCTAAGTAACTACAGGTGATCTGTCCCAGTCAAACTCATAGACAGCGGGGCGCCACCATTGTTTAACTATACAGGGTGTTAGGTAAATGGGTACCTATATGAGCCGACACTAGCCCATGTTAACATGGGCATATAAATGGTATGGTGAAGTCAGAAAATTGATATGATATTGATGGCGCTGTATGAAATTGTCCAAAGAAAAGATATTTAATTTTGTGTTTTTTTCATAGAGGATCGGTTTAGTTTTCTAACGCATGTATTCACAAACATTACTATGAGGTCTCACAGTGCGCGTGGACGCACAGGTTGACACACGAACCAATCACAGAGCTCTATAATCAACGCTGTGCATTCAATTTGCTGAATGCACAGCGTCCAGAATCGTTTGTGAATAGGGAAAACGGAAACGGGCGTTAGGGTTTTTTTGTATGAATTTTCAATGACGTTTAGGTCACTAAAATAATCCGTTAAGCTAGCACCTTAGCTTAGCTTAGTAATTTGGCCATTACTTCGTCAATTTTTGTCGTAGAACAAAAATTATTGGACTGTATATTAAGGATTTCTTAGACCTATAAATCTGCATTCACAGCTAAAAATCGAAATGATCCTCATTGCCAACAGTCATTGATAAAATAAGTTTTAGCCTGGGCGGCGCAGACCATGATACCTATGTCAAGAAATAAAGATTTTACATTGGTTTCATTGAATTTGAGCAATTTTATATTTTTTGTTTATTAAGAAAGAGCGAGTCTGCCCACAGAGAGCGAGATAGTGATACTTAGTTTGTGCTTCAAGTAGGTATTCGGAGTGTGGCCTCCATTTTTATCTGTAGCTTCATGTGATCAACAGCCCTGCCTGCCCGATCCTATGCACAGTGGTCTGAAAATGAAGCTCCCATACCATAGGAACTTAATGTCATAAATTAATAAATAAAAATATGTATTGTGTTTAGTATACCTCCCTTTGTGTTGCTAATATAGTATGAAGGGTATGAGTAGCTCCATGTGTGAGAAAAAAAATATTTGAATTTTTTTTTGTATGGAAAAAAACACTTAAAGTGCTTGGATTTTTTTAAAACTGAATAGAACTGAAGGGCTGGTAGGTACTCACATGAGCTATTGCACCATACACCAGGCGCGGATCCACCGTTGTGGGCACTGTGGGCATGCCCACAACCCTAATTTGCTTGTTTTAATTATGATCTATTGATAAGATAAAAGAAAAAACGGCTGACTGATGAGCCTTTAAAAAATCGAGCGTGATTTGGAATTGGAACACAGCCGTTCATCTGATGATGTAAAAAATATCAAATTAAAAAATTGTTCAAAACATAAGTCCAGGATTGTTCATGAGTGAGTTCGTAAACCAATCCAACTCTCACCTTGCTAATTTTTGGTGGCTGTGCCCACAACCTTTTTTGAGGGCTGGATCCGCGCCTGCCATACACGGCGATCAAGATGACATACAATTCTTGTGCCTTTGGGTGCCGCTTTGCATGTACCAAGCTTTGGAAATTTTGAATTTTCGGTAGGTGATTTTTCAAGTCTTTGATGTTATTTTATGAAGTTATTGACCGCTTTCAATACGAGAATAGTATGTAAATTAAATACTCATATAACTAGGAATATATAGCCTGACCAGGAACATAAAAACCCTCGCCATGTTGCGGAAAACTAATGGTACTAATTTCTTTTAATGGCAACAGTATAGTTCCAAAATACTGGACTGTCCTGTCGATGACATTGACAGTGGGGCGCCACCGTCAATACCGGATCGCTGGTTCAGATTTTTGCCATATTGGAAACCATATAGTTGAACGATGGTAGCGCCCCCCTGTCATTGAGTTTGGCGGGACAGTTCAGCGTGGGTCATCTATAACTGAAAACTTCATTGACATGTCACCTTGCATGTCAGTCTATTGTTGTCAAAGTGTAAACAAACTTTATTTTAAATGTGTGCAATTGATTTTGTGAATTAAATTGCTAAAATATTTTTATAGTCGTGAAAGAAAAGTGGTTCACGGTGTGTTAATGTATTTGTCGAAGAGAAATACTAAGGGTTCGGACAATATTTTCATTGAATAATGTTTCACTGGTAAAACACATTGGTTATACACTCTAGTCTTCAGGCATTGACGTATTTTGGACGAAAAGATGTTGCGTAGTTTCCCGAACGCTGCCCAGCCGAGTTGGATTCGACGATTGACCTCCTTCTCAAATTGGACCTACCTAGCTGGATCGTTTGTCCGAGGTAGACATACTTGTCGACAATCTCGAGAATTGAGCTCCCAACTGAAACTGGGTAAGGCGCAACATGGACATTCGACATAAGCTTCGTTTTGTCCATGTTCATCCTCAGACCTACCTGTTGGGAAACTCGATTAAGGTCTTCGAGCATTGTGCCAAGATCTTCCAATGATTCTGCCATATCCACAATATCGTCGGCAAACCGACGGTGTGTGATGTACTCGCCATTAACGATTCTGCCATATCCACAATATCGTCGGCAAACCGAAGGTGAGTGATGTACTCGCCATGAATGTTTATGCCGAATCCTTTCCATTCCAGCAGTGTTATTAGTTACTAACCTGCTAATGACGTTTTAATGAAAATAATAGAAATCAATATTGATTAAATAAAGAATTTAAAAAATCGAACTGCCTAATAGGCCAGTAGAATTACATTTGAAATCGGAAATAATTCCTACAAAAGATTTTATTGTTTTAATAGCTTCATTTGTTACCCATTAAGACTATTCTAAATTTTCGACTTCGACGGAGTTGTGCTTAAGTGGTGGGGGCCCCCGAAAGGGGCGTTTTTTCGGTTTTACGGTTATAATATCGCGTAAAGGACTTACCCTATCGAAAACTAATAAATAAATAATAATACATATTATATATTGGACAAACCGTTCTCGTGCTTATCTTCGTAAAAGTACCAAATGTACGTATAATTATTGACCCTCTCTACGTGTTTAACCCTGTCAAGGCTTAAGAGCTGGATGCACCTTTCCTTGTTCGTCCTAGCCGTTCCTTAACTGCGGTTACTGCACCTCTTCCTCGGTTGAGGCGGTCCTTTTCAAAACTTGGAATCCTGCGGGTATCGACTATCGAGCCATTGGACGTGGAGAGGATCATTAATAATTTTATACGTACATTTTGTACTTTTTCGAAGATAAGCACGAGAACAGTTTGTCCAAAACATATGAATTTGGTCTTATTCAATGCAGGATTAAATGCTCTTCATCCGTCATGAAGACCAGTTTTCGATAGGGTAAGTCCTTTACGCGATATAACAGTAAAACCAAAAAACGCCCCTTNATACAAAAAAAATTCAAATATTTTTTTTCTCACACATGGAGCTACTCATACCCTTCATGCAATATTAGTAAAACAAAGGGAGGTATACTAAACACAATGCATATTTTTATTTATTAATTTCTGACATTAAGTTTCTATGGTATGGGAGCTTCATTTTCAGACCACCGTGCTATGGCCCGACCCAACTATCGGCCAACTAAACATCGGTAGTCTGCGCCTAGGCTTAACAAGCTCAAAAACTAAAAAGCAAGAAATAAATAAAATAGTTGTATAACAACTCCAATACGTTCTAAAATAAAATACATAGGGTTCATTAATTGCACCTTCGGACCCCAAACAGGTGCAACAGGTCCAACATCTTCTATAGTTTGTTTCAATGATTATAGCAAAAATATTAAATTTTTATTATCTTACAAGAACACGCCAAGTCAAAGTTTTGTTGTCTGTGGCGGCGAGCATATGATAATTGACAGTGACGTTTATAAACTTTTTGAGACAAGACAAACAGGCAGCGATTAGATCGTACTTTATTCCTTCATAATATTGTATAATTCAAACTGGTTTTTTGTGCGTGTGTGTTTATTTGACTCGGTATTTTCCATTAAAATGTGTTTTTGAAATCTTGTGGTTGAAAATTGTGTTTTCAAACTATTTTGTGTATTGTGATCACAAGTGTCTGGATATTTGATAACTGCTCAGTTCGTGGAGTTTCCATGCTTTTTACCGCAGGATGGACGATTTCCATAGCCGACCTAGTACATCAAAGAGTGGGCAGTAAGTATAATAATTGTTTGAAACTTCCAACTATCTTTCCAAACTTTTGTTCTAAAGTTTACTTTACCAGAATAATATCTTCGGACGTTGCTCTAGTTACATTTATTTACGTTTGGGATGGTATACACGTTACTTCATATCTGTTTTTATTTAAATCATATTAGTAAAGCAACATATAACTTCTAATCAAAAAGTTTTGTTCTAACTTCTAAACAAGTTTCTTAAATTACAGAAGCTATTAGATGTTATAATAGATCATTAGATTTATATTATCTGCGCTATGCAACATTCTTAAGACTGACATACGCTGATATTGTTCCTAAAATATCAAGAGATGATTTTTCCTATTTAAATTATAGTCTTGCGCTAGTATCAAGTCAACTCTCTTTTTAATGAATATTCAGATACCTACTTACAAACAGTTCTAATTTCTGGTATATTAAACTTGTGAAGTAGAGTAGTGTCTGGGAGTACTGGGACCCTAAAAAGTCAGTGCTGGTCTGGCAACTTGCCCTTAACCTAAGTCTGAGGTTGTGTGTTTCAAAACAGTGAAAATTGATGTGTTGACTGGCACACTTTTTGGGTATTTTTATTTTTCATGGTTACCTATTCTAAAAACATAATTTCATATGTACATTTTTGGTATTTGCAATAAACTAATTGTCTGTGTCATCAGTGGTAACTTGTTATAGAAGTCAAATATGGCACTTGCATAGTTGTGTCTAGGAATAATAGTGCAATCATGAGGAAAATGACTGTAATTATATTCAATGCTAATAAACAGAGACTAGTTCTGTTAAGAGAATTTACGTCTAGCGTGGCATTAGGGATTGCAATCCGGTCCGGCGGATCCGGTAATCCGGCGGATCCGGTGTGTTTTTGGACCTACCGGATCCGGTGTGTTGGCGCCGGATCCGGTGGCGGATCCGGTAATGCAAAAAATACGCGAACGTGAACTGCGAAAGTCGAGCGCGCGCGCATTTGCCAGATCGCTAGACGTGCCGCGACACTACATTGCATTTTCCTTTGCAATAAATAAATGCTTCTTGTTTTATTGTTTCTTAGGAGTCAGATTGTTTCTTAAAAATAACTGAAGTAGCATTTATAAGTACAAAGGAGTTGTCCCAAAATGTATGGAGCCCAGGCCAACAACATGTACACCTACCAAAAAGAAGGGCTTTTAAATCTACAACAGTTTCTTATTATTCAATTTCTTTAAAATGGCTTCGTTTATTCGTCCAAAACAAAAGATTGTTAAGAAAATAGCAATACTCAACCACAAAAACCATCATGGTGGCCGAATGTTATTTTGATGACATCTGTCAGTTTTGACATTAAGTCGTATCTTGATGTGAAGAAAAATAAATAAACAACTATATAATGATTAATGATTATGTATTCCACAAAGTGCCATAAAATAATCAATCGACAAAAGAACAATTCGATAAAACTAATATGTCGACCAATATCGATTGCTTTGATAACCTATTACAGTGCTATAGTCAAATAGGTTATTACCGGATTTGGTGTTGATCAAACTAACCTGTTTTTCACATAGAGATGTATAGGCTAACCCGGCCGGATCCGGACGGATCCGGCCGGATTAGCGTCAATCCGGTGAAATCCGGCCGGATTGAAAATGATACCGGATTGCAATCCCTACGTGGCATGTCAAGTTTAGGTAATTTCGATGCTAGTTTTATTCACACTAAAATAATTATGACTGTGTGCGTGTTCTCACGCTCTATAGTCAAACCAAAATACTTTGATCCACCATCGTAAAAGTGTGCCAGGCTGTCAAGTGACAGCTCAAGGAAACTATAAAATCTTCAAATCTTCCAACACCGACTCCATAATTATAAATAATAGTATACATTAGTGCTAATCAATAATAAATACGTAAATTCATTATCAAATAGTAAATTATCAAAGGTTTTTTACTATTTTGAGAATATTTTATACAGCCTATGTTCAGCAGAAAAAATTTTGAATTTTAATGGTGAGAGATTTTTTCAAATCGGTTCTATTCAAAACAAACTTTTCCCGTTTACTATTCTTTTTTTATCCGGAAAATTCATAACATTTCACACCCACCCTGTTAGGAAGGGACAGTTGGAGACCATAAGCTGTCCTCTTGCGCCCGGTGTGTCGGCGGCGGATAACCGGAGTGTCGGATAGACACCCGCAGACCCAGGGGCGTTACAGCTGAAAATCAGTGTTCTGCCCTTTTTAGGGTAGTGTTTATACTGAGCTCTTTGCTTTTTGCATCGCTGCGGCTAGGGTTGCCAGGTCCAAAATCACAAAAGCCGGACTTCGTGCTTCATTTGGCCGGACATTTTACCCTAAAAGCCGGACATGTGACCGGGGGGGGGGGGGTAATTAGTGTCAGGTCATGACTGAGTATTTCTCAGATAACTATTTGCCCAAGGATCTATGCTATAGGATATAAATGTTTGTTAAATCGTTTTCACAGTATTTTTATAAAAAATTCAGCTTGTAAACTGACGCTAAAGTGGAAATTTACAAAACCTGTGTGGACCGTTTGGTGTAGTGGTTCAGAACGGACTACTATGCCGAGAGGTCCCGGGTTCGATTCCCGGCCGGGCAGAAATTGAAATGATGAATTTTAATTTCTGTGACGGGTCTGGGTGTGACTATGTATAATATTTATGTATTTAAAAAAAAAGTATATAAGTAGTATATCCGTTAAGCTAGCACCCATAACACAAGCATTAAGTTGCTTACTTTGGGGCTAGCTGGCGCTGTGTGAAATTGTCCAAAGATTTATTTATTTATTATTATTATTATTACTTATCTTGACAGAATTCTTAAATGCTAAACTAATCGCAATATTTTCTCAATTAACTATTTAGACGACGAAATTGCCTAACTATTTATGCCTATAACATATTTGTAGTATTATTGGTTAATGATTGTAACGAGTTGAAAAAGTACTGTTTTTGCTCCAAACGGCGTAAACGCTCTTAACATGTTTACTTGCTTGGTTTTAACACTTTTATATATTTTTATCTTAATTAGAAGAAAGATAATAAATTTTTAGTCAGATTAAACTTTAAGAAATCTGGGCTTCAAACTGAGGTTCCTTAGGCTCGGTGTCTTTAATTTGGAAACTACTTTGGCAAACAAAAGTCTGCTTTTTTTGAAGTCTAATGACCTGCACCATTCAAGTCTCTTAGAATACCAGCTTTTTTGAATTATAAAGCTAATAATCCTATCATCTCTAAATCTAAATTATGCCTACCTACTTTGATATACATATCTCAAGCCAAAAATAAAATCAGGCTAAGTAATACCAGTTTAAAATATTTATAATATTTTATAATGTATTCAATGACACACTATTATTAGCTGACTTTTAATATGGAACACCTTATTTTAATTTAAGACGAGTATAAACTTGAATTCAAAACTAGTTTTAATATTTACTATTGATTCTAGTACATAAATTGTAACTCTTAATTACCCAACATTTTCTAAGCACTCGAAAGTATCTTAGAACTAAAGTTAATATCACAGTACATATTAAAAACACACCTGACTAATTCATTTTTGTTCTTAGCACCTATTAAAACCTTATAAGATGCCACAAAGTTGCTAAGTTAATTTTGTTACTTACATAACAAATCAAAGAAATTACATACTTAGTACATACCTACATTAAAATGAACTTGTAATCAGATGCGTAGAGTAAGCAAATGAAACGGGTCTGTTAAAAAATAAATCCTAGGAAGTGACACGCATCGCGTGTAGTGTGCGCGCGCGCAGCGTTGCGTCGCCGGCCTCGAGGCGGTTCTACGACGTTCGACGGAGTTCCACGCGGCTAGGGTTGCCAGGTCCAAAATCACAAAAGCCGGACTCTGTGCTTCATTTGGCCAGACATGTGGCGATTAGTGTCACTCACGGGTGAGTACTGTCATCGTATTATCAGTTGCCCAACATAACGTCCTGATGCGTGCGCTTCATTTTATTCTGTGGCTCGACTTTCGCCTAGCGCAGCAGGCCAAATAAAAAGCCTAACAAAAGCCGGACAGGCCGGACAAGACCGTAAAAAGCCAAACATGTCCGGCTAAAGCCGGACGCCTGGCAACCCTACACGCGGCTCGCACGACGCCGCGCAGGGCCAATCATGTTATCTCTAGGGCCCATCATCCGTAATATTAATGACAAGAATCTACAACCGATTCGATAACGTAATATAACTACACAAATGGTATTTTCTTACGCTCGATTTATTAAACAACTAGGTAATGGCTGACGACGAATGTATTGTGCGTAGCATTCAGCAATTTAAATGTTTATCACGAGTCTTAGACGTCATTAATGTTGTAAAAACAGGAATAGATAAATTCTGTAAACCTACCGCGCACTAGATACAAACAAAGTAAACTTATAAAATATGATTTTGCCACAACAACCAAGACATTTTTTTAAATTACTTGCTCTTGAAGTTTTAATATCGTGCAGATTTCATCACGGACGCAGGATTGCCCCGCATGCGTGACACGTGTGAAGTGTCCTTTTCATACAAGTATTTGTGGTCCCGCGTGCGTATTCCACGCATTACAATTAGTCCAGTCATTTCGTCCGAAAAAAAGGCAAATAAAAGAAAATGAATTTGCGCTTCTAATTTTTTAATATGTTGTAGGGGATACCTAGAAAAGCTTAACTTGAGATTGTCGACCAAGCTTTCCTAGGAGCTTTCGCCGCCATCTTGGAAAACGCTTAAAATTTGTTTTTCGGCAATAACTCGGCTATCCGATGAGATTCGAAAATTTTTGTAGGACACTTTTGGTAGCTTTCTTTGTGCTCTACAATAACGCCCGAACCATTTTTAGCGTATCATGCATCGTTATCGAGATATCGATCGATAAAGTCAAAAATTTTGGACACAATTTTTGTTTTTTTCTTTTTTTTTCTTTGGGTCTTAATAAATATGAAAAATTCCGAAATAATTAAATAATTAATTAAAAAGTAAAAAG